AAATGCAGTGCCTATCTTGGGTTATCCCCAAGTATGGTGTTACTTGATTCATCATGAAGGATTTTCTCTCCTAGATTCTTCTGAGAATTATCCCCTGATTAGTTGTGTGCATCATGCCAACACCCATTAATATTGTCAACTAGTCATGAAATTGCCTTTAGTTGAAGCAATACTTTTCAAGTATATGTTATCATCAACCTTCTTGGAAACTATCAAGTCATCTAAGCATGCATTCCATAGCTTGTTGTAAAAGGCTCATCATTGTATGCTCAATATTCTTCACAATAAGTTCTTTTTAGCCCGTCTAATCAGATTGTGAAAAGGAATGTATTAGAATTATTAGTGATCCATTTATCACCCATATTCATGCAAATAAGTGTGCCTTTGAGCTTCAAAACAAATGGTCTCATAGTCAATCTTGGTGGTGTGCCTTTTTTTGATAATCATTTGAATGTAAGTACACAATAACATTTATTGGGAATCATAACCATGTTTCAGAGGATAACCCAAGATGAAAATGTCCTTCAGATGCAATGTTGCTCATCAAGTGCTGCTGAAATTCAGTAGATCCTAAACTGTCAACATTGCCCCCAGCAATGATTTGAATGCTTGTCATCTGTTGATACTCAAGAAGTTTTTTCTTTGTCATTGTCAGATGCTAAACATAACTTTAATGGACTTTGATGACTCATCATTTGAGTTTTTCTTTACCCCTAGCTGATCTGAATACTACTTGTTTTCCTTCTCAGGATCTACTGTATTACCCTTGGGTAGTTAACTTTTCGAGGAGTATTGAGAAGTGTTGATGTCATTTTTGTTAGGTATTTTGCAAAATCAATCGATGTTTTTATTTGACGACATTTCTTGAATCAAATCTCATATTTCAAAGGTCATGTCTATTCAAGTCTAATTGTTGAAATAAAATTAGAGAGATGTTTATTTTTTTAAAAAAAATATTTTTGAAATTCAAGCTTATTTGGTTAAAGACCCAACACATACTATTCAATATAGTTCTTTGATTGTCTTATATTTTGAAAACATAAATGACCCCTTGTAAGATTAAAATGACTTTTTTATGGTTCTTTGTGTTAGTTTTAATCATTGATTTTGGGTATATCTTTTGATGGTCTACGATGAGGTGACCTTCTATAAGTTTCAAGGAAAACAAAAGGCTCAAGTTAAAACTTAAGGATTCATCAAGAAAGATTTTTTTTCTTTTTTAGCACCTATTTTATCAGCTTGTATAATAATCAATAACTTGATTCATGAAGTCATGAAACTTATTAAAAAGCTCTTCAAGTTTTGAGAGCGCCATTTATCGGTTCAGATTGCTTACTTGATTAAAAAGGGCTTTTTACAGCACGTAATGCAAGCTATGGTTCATGGCTATGAAAGAAAGGAATTTTTAGGATTGTTGGAAACCTTTTAATAGCTAGGTAATCATGGTAGTGTATAGAAACATGTAGCATCGTCATTACCAACGTGTGGAATCACATGTCGTCTCTATTGGACTAGAACCTGATGAATCAAAAGCTCCTCTGTCTCCTCTTTGATTTCTCATTAGCATTGCAGCAAACATACACTTGTAAAGGGAGTCTCTATTAAAGTTTCAATCTTTTTCATGTTTTTCAATTTAAGTAAGTCTCTTCTCTCTATTTTTACATTTTAAAGCTAACACTGATGGGAGAAAATTATATATGATCTAAAACTACTGCATCCCTTCTTAGATTTTTTTACTTATAGAGTTATGAATAGATTTCTATAGAGAGAGCTCTGTCACATAAAAGTTCAATGTCTAATCATGTTTTTTTTTCCAACATCTTGTGCTGCTGAACTAAAATTGAGTTCACAGTGTGGGTAACTTCAAAGAATACTAATGCACCATGCACAGATGGCTAGCAGCTATTTGATGCCATTGGAAGATGTGGAGGCGATGAACAATTAACAATGCAACTAAATAAGAACGGAGGTTGTTATTAGTTGATGACTGAAGGCATTGCTGTCATTGTTCATGACTGAAAAGAAAAGGTGCTGCTTCAATGGAATGTGGACAAATAGTGTTCCCACATAAGACTATATAGACTTCCCTTTCCATTTGATGCTCAACATTTGTTCAAGCAAATCTGAGTCTATCTACTTCACCTTGATGCTTTTAACTTTCTTTAGACCATGAGCCTCTCTCTAACCCCTTTCTTTATTATCCATCCTTTTTAGTCTAGTGTAGTAAACCTCAGATGAGGGAACCTATTTTTCATCCAGGTACAATGCATGATAAATGTATGACATGTAATCTATATGATGAACTTGCTCATCGAGGGATGATATATGGTCATAATTCTTGTTGATGAAACAACAATTTTTATTCTTGTTGAAATTCTACAATAGAAATTTCTTGAGTGATGACCATTATATCCCTTATACATCCTGAATTTAAGATGTTTTAAGAAGGGCTTGCTCAGATGCAAAACAATATGTATGGAGCATACATCCTAAAGGCAGGTTTTAATCTTTTTATGTGAGATAAATGATAGGTTTACTACTTAGTCTCTAAAAAGAGTTTCTTGTTGTCCTAGTGATCACCCTCATAAAGGCAATATAAGGGCTCAAGAGACAATGAAATGACACGTATACCAATCACCAATAATCTAGGCACTCAATGAAGAGTTGAGGTTTACACAAACTTAAACTTTGACTAAAAGTCGTAAGGTAAGCTACTAGTCCCCCACCTAACCTAAAGCTTGTGTGTGCTTTTAAAAATGAAAACATGTGATGCATGAGAGAATTCTATACAATGTATGAATAAAACAAAAATAAAACAAAACACCAAAAAACTATTTAACACATCAAAAACACAAAGCTTGGTCCGATAATGTTGAAAATAATATATGTCCTTAGTGGAGTCGTCATTCTGTCGCACGTCACCCGCGTTGCGTCGATGGCAATTTTTCATTTGTTTGCTTGATTTGGTTTTTGAGAGTTGCCACCTGCTATTTGATTGAGGGTTACTAGAAAACCTAAATGTATTAGTCGTTGTCAGATATTCAAGGGTAAGGGACTAGTTATGGCTAGGAAAGGTATTAATACCCCTAACACACCCTACTTGAGATAAGTTGCTTTGTAATTTGATATGATTTAAAAAAATATTAGTCAAATTCTAAGATTTTAATAAGTCAGTTCTTAAATCCCAAAATATATATGTAGAAATATGTTCTTATATTTTCATAGAAAATACAACATGATTTTATTTATCCTTGGGATATTTGACCATACACAAATTAAAACATTTAATTATTTTTCCTTTCTTTTTTATTTTATAATTCAGAAATATACATAATGAAAAGTATAGTCACGTACACATCCATTCTCATTATGTTTTTTTTTTCACCCACATTTACATGTTCACAAAATAATATAAATTAAACAAAAAAACTAAATTGAAATACATGTTCTAAAATGTAAAAATTACAAAACAGACCCCTAAAAATCCAGGAATTGCAGAGGAGGCCTTCTGGAACTGCAAGGACAGTGATGGTGGGTCTTCTCCACGCGCCATCGCGACTGGTAGTGCATGGGTTCACGTGCCGCCGTGAAATCCAGAGAGCGAGGGGGAGATCTGTAATGGCTTCCTCTCTTCTTCACCTTCCTATCCACTATAAGCATCGTCGTTACCTGCAAAACACCCAAAACACAACAAGCAAGTTTGTTATAGCTTTCTTTCTTTGTTTTTAGATTGACTTCTCTTCCTTCCCTTTTTTTCTGATTTGCTTCTCTCTCTGCAAATCTTTTTTTTTCCTCTTCTTCTGTTTTAGGTAGTCGGTGGCATAACCAAAGGACTACTGGCGAATGGGTTCATGTCACGTCTGTGCAACTCCTGGCGGCCTTTTCGGATCTTGGTGAGGATGAAGGCCTATAGCCCATTAAGTGGCGTTCGCAATGGCTAAGAGAGAGGTCGGTCAAATCTGGAGACAACGATGATAAGGAAGAGAGTCAGGGCTATCTTGTGGGTCTGTAGGGGATGTAGCTACTGATGGCAAAGACCGGCTGAAAGGAGAGTGAGGGGGTGGCCTTGACTGGTCCGTGGAGAAAACCAGAGGAAAAGGGGGAAAGCTTTGGCTCTCTGGTTTTGTTTTTGGCCATGGGAAGGAAGAAAAACCCTAAGATGGAAGGGGCGGTCACCATGTTGATGACTAGGAGAGGAAAATCAGGTGTAGGCTAGGGTAAAGGTGAGCGACGGGGCGTCCTTATTCTGCAGGGAAGATAGAGATGGGAGTGCGGCAGTTTAACAGGGAAATAGAGGCTTGTCTGTAGGAAATGGGGAGAAGACTGCCATGGTAGAGAGTGGCTCTACCTTCTTAAAGGGAGAGTTTATCTAGTTTTCTTTTCAAAGACCAAGGGTTGAAAGGGGGCGGCTTTAGAGAAGATAGATTTTTTAGGGTTTTCTCTTTTCCCTTTTTTTTTCTCTTAATCCCCCCCCCAATACATTTTCTCTCCCTTCACATTTTTTTACTGTAGACTAGTATTTATAGGCAAAATATTGCTATATTTTCAAACTAGTCCCTCAATTTTTCATTTTCTTTTCTTTTCTTTCTTTTTTTTTGTTTATTTTTATTTTTCTTATTTTTTTTATTTTTGAAAGTGAGCAATATCAATGTCGACTCAATAAAAAAAATTGGTGATTGTAAAATTAACGTGTTAAAAGTTGAATGTGTTCAAAATACCTTTGAAAATTTAAATTTTTCTGATATAATATTGAAAATGCTAAAAACAATGCAAATATATAAAAAAAAATATTTTTTGAGGTTTTCACTATTTTTTTGCTATTTTTTATTTTTTCTGAAAATTTATAAAAAATATAGGTCAAAATTTGGATAGAGACACTTTTAATAAATAAAACTAGATAAATATTATTTAACACAAATAATATAACTTCGGCAATTAAGATGACCTAAGAGTTTACATGACTTAATATTAACTAGATAAATATTATTTAACACAAATAATATAACTTCGGCAATTAAAATGACCTATGAGTTTACATGACTTAATATTCAGTAAGCCACATGATTTGGATGCAAAGCCGCCTGAAAAATATCCATGCATGGCTGCCATAAATTGACTGAATACATAAATATATAGATAGACACGCTCATTTTTATTTTTATTTCTTGGGGCCTTAAACTGAGCAGCCATTCGTCTAGAAAAGATTTAACCACTTCAAAATCAGCCTCGACTGTATATATTTTCGTGGAAGTGCATATGCTATTTAAGTATTCGCCATGCATAAGCAGCTGGCAAGATCACTGGCGATATTATACATCAATCTGATCATAGGAGGCGATGCATTTTCAGCTTTTGCCCAGCTGTTACTGCTTTTGCTCCATGCTTTCATCAACCTTAGGCCTGGTATTCATGAGGACCTGCATGCAAGAAGAGAACAAATGCGTATTGATGATCAGCAGGTAAATTAAATGGCATGCATGGCAACTTTAGTAATTAATTTGTAAGAGATCATCATCACTTCATGATCACCTTCCGAAGCATGGTGTTTTCATTGGTCAAGGTGGAAATCTTCTCCTCTAATTTGGTATTCATTTCCTGCAATTCTTTGGCTCTTGATTCCAAGTCATTGACGTAAACCTTCTTCCTTTCTCGAGCTTGTTGGGCTGAGACCCTGTTCCTTAGCAATCTGCTACATACAGAAGAAGTCATATACATGCATTCATACGTGCGTGCGTGTGAAGACAGTAAGGGAGATCCCATGATCCAAGCATTACAAATTAAGAATGAGATCTTGATTATGGAAAATTAAGATTATTTCTAAATAATTAGATTATTCTATTACATCAGTTTCCCAACCTGGTGTTTGGAAAATTCCAGCGTAATACTTGGTCTATGGTTTTTTATTGTGTTAGCAGGAGTATATGGCTTATGAGGAACAAGATAATCTTCGATGATGAAACTATGATTTGCGAATATAGTTTCTTCTTAATTCTTTATTATCTCTCGAATTGGTTCAAGTCTGAATATAAATTCTTCACGGCTCTATTGACACTGCTTTAATTATGGAACCTAAAAGTATTATAGCTTGATCTAAATCAAGGCTTTAAGTGTGGCATACCAGCTCCTTCAATTTTGATGATCTTTTTCGATTATGAATCTGTTGATTTTCTTTCTCTTTTCTTTTGTGTTTGCTTTTTGTTTTTGTGATTCTTTTTTCTTTTCTTTTATACTTTTTTTCTGTGTATCTTGTTTTTGGTTACCTTCTAGTTAGTCTTTTCAATATATCAACTTTTTTTTAAAAAAAAAAAAAAGATGACTAACCTCCTACACTGTTAGCCGTGTATATTGAATTTAAATTTAATTTATTATTTTTTTAATTTTTTTTATCATTTAACATTTAATTAATTCTAAATTAATTTTAATTTGTTTTTGTATGAATTTAGCACAACCTCAAATAATCATTTAGATATTTGGTTTGTATTATATTTTACAAGCATTTGGTTTTGTTATTATATAATTAAATGAAAAATAGTTAAACAAAACATGGATGACTAACGTCCTACACTATGAAGGGGTCCTCTCTCTCTCTCTTTCTTTTTTTTTTTAATTTCATCCTTTAATATTAGATTTGAATTTATTTTTATTTTTTTAATTTTATCATTTATCATTTAATTAATTTTGAATTAATTTTAACTTGTTTTTTATGAGTTTATCACAACCTTAAATAATCATTCGGACATTTGGTTTGTATTACATTTTATGAGCGTCTAGATTTTTTATCATATAATTAATTGAAAAATAGATAAAAAAAAAAAAACAAAGTTATTAAACTTAGTGGAATCCATGTCCTAGATTATAGGTTTAGCGGGTTAAGCAGCGAAATCCAGATAATCCAACATTTCATCATCTTAATATTAAAAAATATCTTCTTATATTTATTTTTAAAAAAACAAACTACACTTTTTACAGATCGTTTGAATTGTTATTACCAATTTAATTGAATTATGTCAAGACAACTCCTAAACAGTTTACTTTTAAACCCGGAATAGGTAAAAATGTAAATCGATAGGTTTCAAAGTTGATTTCTTAAATCAAATTTAATAATAATATCAAATGGTTCTATGTAACTTAGAAATTTTAGGTTTTAACTTACTTGCTTTGCTATGATATGAAGAGTGAAGCTATTTTTTTTTCATTTCTCCTTCAATGTTTGATGGAGTTTGAATTGATATTTATATTTCATTTTTGTTTATTTTCTATTAAGTTATCATTATTTCAAATAACATTTTGATATTTGATTTGTGCTCAATTTTATAAACATCTATTTTGCATATCATATAATTAAGTAAAAAAAATTTTAAAAAAAAAATATCAAACCTAATAGAGTTAAGAATTTAGGTTGCATGTTTGATGGGTTAAACAACAAAGATTTCATTTAGATCATGTTATGACAACTTTCACACAGTTTAATTTTAAATTTATACTCGATAAGGAGTCAAGTTGTCAAATTTTCAAATTAATTTGTTAAGTTATGTTTAATAATAATAACAAATAGTTTTTTGTAACGTGCTTGTTCAAAAAAAATATTGATCTGACCCCACATATACATACTACAGACAACGTGTATATATATATATATATATATATATATATATTTGTGGTAACATTTTTAATCGTTTACAATAAATTCAATAACAGAAATGGAAATTAGATGTTGATTCTGAACATTAAATAACATTTAACAAGTGCGTTAAGCTAATCTATATGCATAACAAAAAAGAAATAACAACATCATATTTAAACTATGTATGTAGGACTCACCTCTTGAGCCTTCTATATTCTTTGTCAACAGGGTTTCGTCCTCTATGGCGTTTATTACTCCCTGCTGCTGCTGATGCCGCTGCGGCGGCGGATTGAACCTCTGGATTATTAGAATTAATGTTCTTATTATTGTAAGTAGTAGTATTATTACCACCACCAGCAGCAGCAGCAGACTCCGCCGGTGGTCGAGCTTCTACATCCGGAACCGTGAAAAGATCTTCATCACTGTCTTCATGATCTGGACCATATTAATTAATTAGTAACATCATTATAATTACTATAATGACTTCCCACGAGCACTAGGCCAAGCAGACTATATATGTGTATATCATTTCATGTGTGTGTGTGTGTATAATTACTCCAGCTAGCTAGAGTCCTGTCTGCTGGGTGGATCTACGGACAACGCACCTACTAATTTGTTTTTGTGGGGTGAAACGAGATTGTCACTTGTACTACCAGTACTTCTCCTGATCCTCCAAGAAGAGGAAGAAGAAGAGGTAGCGGGAGCACTAGTGCCCTCCACCTGATGGTCGTCGTCGTCATCGTCTTCGTCATCGTCGTCGTCAAGCAATTGCTTCTTATGATCATGAGGGTACCTCTTGTTGAATTCACCAATATCCATTATCTTCTCTTCAATTACACGATTTGAGCTGATTATCTACCTCCAAGTACAGCTACGATGCCAATGCTAAAACTGTCTCCTAATGGATCATGATCTGACTCTGAATGTGTGTTTTTGTAACAGTTGTCCATGTCCATACCATCTATCCTTTCCTTTTTGGAAGACCTGGTTTAAAGCTTCTGGTTCATGAACGACCACGTTGATGCATGCACAGCCGCCCGCACCCCCTTCTCTTCCTGTCTCTTTCTCTCTCTCCCTCTCTGCCCATTACCTCATATATAAATACTAGCTATCTAACCGTTATTTGTTTTTCTAAGAAAATAATATAGGGTATATACATTATTTTGGCGTGCTTTTTGTGTATAAAAATTTAAACTGTAAACTGAAAAGTGTAAATATTTAAATAAAAAAATTGATATTTATCTATATAAAAAAATATTAAACAATAATTAAAAGAGAAATTAAATACTACTAGATTTAATAGTTTTATCAATAGGCTCATAGACAATTAATCCATCAAAAAAACTCTCACTACTAATTTATAGTTTGTTGGTAAAAAATATACTGATGGATTTATAAATATACAAAACATGCCAAAAAAAAATACTCGTTTTATTCTGTTGCTATCTTATTGGTAAATTTAATATATCACCTATAAAAAAATCATATCATATGTAATGTTATCAATGTTTTTATTTGTGTATTGATATATTCATTGATAAATATAATATATCACTAACATAATATCATCTATAATTTTATTGGTAAGTTGATAATAGCAGTAGCATTTACAATAATTCTTTGATAACTCTCTTTGGAATATATCGATAAAGTTTTTCATAGGAGTAAGCAAAAAAAACCGAAAGACCAATTCAACCAAGAAAATAAAAAAAAATTGAAAAAATCAAACTATAAAAACAAACCAATTAAATAGATTATAATTTTTTAAAAATCAACTGGTTTTGTTCAGTTTTATAAACCTGAAGTTGAAAAAACTAAATCAAGCCCAAAAAAAAAAACCAAAAAAAACTCAACTTAAACCAGAGAAAATTGAGCTAAACCAAAACCAGTCAATTTGAACTAGTTTTTGTTTTAAAATAACCGAATCACATTGAAACTGGTTGGTTTGAACCGGTTTGGTTATTTTTTTATAAAAACTGAATTGAATCGAAAATGATCATCCTTAATTATTCATTTGATAACCCTGTCAGTAATATTTTAAAAATATATTTTAAAAAATATATTGAACAGAAGTAGAAAAATAATTAAAATAATATAAAAATCAGATATCTATTATAAATTTAAATATTTACACGTTAAAATGCAATAAATCTAAAATAGAATTGGCATTAAAGGAGGAGTAATCTAGTCATTGTTGGGATTGTAAAGTTGATTAAGGGATGCATATATATCACTCATCTATGATTTCATATACATTATCAATCGATGGAGTTCTTCATAATCAACAGTAAGTCATTTAAATTTTTCATTAAGATGGGCTATTCAAGTCTATACTTGTTGATCTAACATTGCTGCGAACTCCAAAGTTTGAGTGCTCATAATCGATTATAAGCATCCAACAGTCGAAACACTATAAACAATTTTCAAGTTTTTGGTTGTAGTATTACGGGCTTGATGGGTTTCTAATCGATGAACTCTATTACTTGGGGTAAAGATTCACTCATGCGAATAATTTTAGTATTTTGAATTTATTATCAGCTCATGTATTGAAATCAGTTTTTATGAAATAGATTTATGTTGGTGCCCTGGCAAGGTTCACCTATCTTGGAAGGCGGAAGGGTATTTTCCAACTTGTATATTGTGGTGAAAAATATTCTCAATTAAAATTGATGAATATTTAGATAAAATTCTGATAATTTTCTAGTCAATTATGATATTTAAATACCAGCTTTCTTGGAGGTTTAGCGTTTCTACCACAATACTGACTATCATTACCCAATTTTGATTTTTCATAATAATAATAATTTTGAGAATATAACCCTAATTAGGCATGCACATTCATTCAAAACTACATGTAGATAGATGAATTGGGGTTTCATAAAAAAAAAACATTTAAAAATAATTTGAGAATTTAGTCAAGACAACACAAATTGAAAGTTTGGATAACTAATAAAGATGAAATTATAAAGTTAGAAGTCAAATTGGCCAAAAATTGAAAGAATTAATAATTTTAGGGACTTAATTAAAATTTGAATTAGTTTAATTGATATAATCAAAGGTTTAATTGGAGAAATATCAAAGTTCAGGGTCAATTTGGGTCAAAATTACAAGAAATAAAATTCCAATGACCAAAATGAATAGGCACCAATACTATAATGGGGTTAATTGATTTTACAAGAGGTAATTTTGAAAGAATGAAAAGTTTGAGAAGTCAATTAAGAACTGAATTGAAGAAATTCAAATATAGGGATTATTTTGTAAATAACACAAAAATCAAAGGGTCTAATTACATATATTCAAGGGTGAAATTAAAAAAAAAAAAGATTTTCAAAAGTATGGACTTGATTGCAACTCATTAGAATTATAGGGGGCAAATTGAAGATAATCATTTCAATCAAAAAACAATATTGTTTCTAAATTAACTATTCATCCCCTTCTTCCTCTTTCAAGGGAAGATCGGTTCAACAAAAAACACATCAAAACTGCATTAAATCTAATTCAAATCGTAGATCAGATTTGTCTACCATAAAGCCTACTAGTTGTCTTAGTTTCTATCAATCATACGATGTTTTTCCAATGTAAAAATCGTTCGTCTCCAATAATCTTATAATGGCAGGATTGTTGGTGCCCTATTTTCATTAAACATGGATGGATTTGAGCCATGTTTATCCTTATTCTAGGATTGTTATCCTGGGAGTGATAATACGAACTGTAATGGTATTCTTTTGTTTTTTAACCATGTAAAAGTAGAGGGAACAAAGCGCAAAAGAGGATAGAGAACAAATGAGAGAAAGACTAGAGAGAGGAGAAGAGAGAGACAAAAAAAAAAACACAACTAAAGAAAAAGAGAGAAACAAAGGGAGATTATTGTAAAAGAGGCAATCTAACCAACCATATGGACATCATCGACTTCATCTCCTACACCAAGTAAGCCTCTCTTTTCCCGCATAAAACTATTATAATAACCATTTTTATTTTATATTGACCTGGATCAACTCGAGTTGATCCTCCTAACATGTTACATAGGCCTTATCCCAGATCAACCATCAAGTCAGGTTTTTTAAATTATGATAATAACTTTTTCTGTTTTTATATTTACCTAGACCAATGGTCAATCTGACTCGTGACTTGGATATTGTCTCAGATGAACTCTCAAATTGGATTTTAAAACTATTATAATAATTATTTTTATTTTTAACTGACTCGAATTAATCTAAGTTAATTTGATCCGTTAATTGAGCCTTGACCAGTAACTTGGATTTTACTCCAGATCGACCTCTTGAGTTGAGTTTTAAAGCTATAATAATAATCATTTATATTCTTCCATGTTTTGGTTATATAATTTTGGAATTGAGAGTTTTTTACAATAATATTTTAAAAATAAAAAATATAAAAATTTATTTTAAAATTATTTCAAAAATAAATTTATTTTTATATATCTATTTCTATCTTTTTAACCAAATATATTTATATTTTTATTATCTCTAATTTTATTTTTATTTTTTTAATCCGAGGACAACAACATGTACGATAAAATCTCTACAAAACTTTCTACTCTTTTTAAAGGAAAAGGTTTCAATGTTATACATGGCCATCTACAGGCCTAGAACTATAAAAACAAGGCCAGCTTCTAA